AAGGGTTTTGCTGAGACAACTTGGTTGCTGAAGCTTCAAGCGGCTGCAACACCAAGAGGGTTGGTTTGGCCACAGTATGCTATTGACAGTGGACTTTGCCTACTCAGAAGTGCCTACTGTGGAGTGCCTACTGGTCAGTGCCTGGAGTGCCTACTGGGAACCTACTGAGAAGTGCCTAGAAAAGAAATGCCTACAGCTAGCTGTGGAGAATACAGGGAAGTCATTTCAGGATAAAGAAGCGCCTAGTGGGAGTTGATAAAGCTAGTAACCACCAGGACAACAGCATATCCTGCAAGGGCAAAGATGCTAAACGACAACTTGCACTGTGCAAACCCTAAGCCCTCTTTTTCAGCAGTCTCCTTTGAAGTTTCTGTGCTGCAGGCTCAGGTCTGCGCTACAGCCTCTTGGGCTCATCAAAACTTAAAGAGGTTGTCACTCCTTGTTCAGCTGGCCCCTGCACTTGAGCACAGCCTTGCAGGCTTCCAAGTCCTCCTGGGCCTTGATGCTTGCATCACCAATCTCATTCATGAAGGCCTCAAAGGTCTTCCTGGTGATTGTTTCTCCATCTTTTGTCTCCTGCAAAAACACAAAGCACAATAGAATTACCAGCACTGTAAAATATGATTTCATGAGTGCAATGTTTTCCTGACTGTAGTGACAGGTTTGTGATTGTCCTCAAACAAGAGGATGTGCTCTGCATTCTGCAGTGTGTCTTTGATTTCAACAATGATGCCCTTCAATGTGGTCTTCTGTTGGTCTGGGCAATTTGTCAACAGCTTCAAGGCTGAGTTCAGCATCCTTTCATTGGCCTCCTTGGCCTCTGTCAACATCTTTTTCATTTCTGGATTCAGCCCACAATTTTCGATTGCCTTCTGCTTTTTCACTGGGTAGGCGCTGGATGAAGGCAGAGAAGATGGCCTCTCAGTTTGGGAGCCTGAGAAAGTCCAGCACATGCTTTTGAAGGCTCCTGTCAAAGCTTTGTGCTGTTCAGTGCTGATTGCAACCTGTCCTCCTCCAACCTGTTGCTTCTCCTCATTCTTTTTCTTTGTGCCAGCCTTTGTAGACCTGTAGGAGCGCCAAATGGTTCCATCAGCCTCCCACTCTTGCACATCACCCATGGCTATGGCCTGCCTCGGGCCTTCCTCATTGCCATGAAATTTGGAATGGAGAAACACAGACTTTGGCTCACCTTTGGTCTGGTCAACTCCAAAGTCTGTTGTCGAAGCCTCCCTGAAGTTGTTGAACCATGGCTGGTCAGCCACCATGTCATACTTCTTGGTCACAGGATTCTTCTTGAAGAGCTTGTTTATAATCTGAGTTTTCCACTTCCTGGGATCCTTCTGCTTCTTGCTCTCCTTGTGGAACATCTCAAGAATATGGCTGGGAATGGCATTCTGATCACACATCTTCTTCCACTTCTGACCTTTCCCTTTGTCCCTGTATTCACCATCACTTTCTTCATCGCTGACATTCAAACCGCCCTCTTCTTCTGGCTCTTCTTCTCCAGTTGCCTCATCATCTTTTGAGGCAAGCCCCTGCTTCCAAGCCTTGGCCTGGTCCATGATAGAACTCTTTGTCTTTGCGGGCTTGGGTGGCCCATCTGATCGACCTGCAGGTTTCTTTGTAGGTGCACCCTTGCTCTTTGGTTTTGGCTTGGGTGCAGGCTTAGCCTTTGCAGGCTTCTTCAAAACTGTGGGCTCATCTTTTGGAAGTTCCTCTGAATGCTCTGGGACCACAACTTCAGCATCTGACTTTACCTCCTCAGGTTCAGTCTTTGGTGATGTAGGGGCAGCACCCATGGCTGCAGCAGGCCTTTTCATAACTACAATGATTGGGTTTGAAATGCCACTGCATTCCTATTTGCCATGGTTGTGAATGTGTCTTGTGCCCTTTGTGTTGCTTGGCAGCTGGTTGGGCCAAAGAGACCAGTGCACACTATGACATTGAACCTGTGGGTGTACCTGTGTGCCTACAAAGTTTCCCAAACTGCCTAAGCCCCAAAGTGCCTAGCAAATGGAGTGCCTAAGCGCACAGAATATTTTCCAAAGTGCCTACAGTGCCTACCAGAGAGTGCCTAAAAGTGCCTACAGTGCCTACCAGATAGAGTGCCTGAAAGTGCCTACAGTGCCTACCAGATAGATTGCCTAAGTGCCTAAAACATCCTAAAACCACTAAGTGGAGTGCCTCACCCATTGGCACATGTCACAAAACCTGAACAAAAAACAAAGATTTCATGTTCCAAAAGTACCACTTACAGGTGGCAATTGCCACTTGTTTAGTGGAAATTGCCACTTGATTTCCTGACAAAAACAAGCCAAACTATGTAACTCGCACACTTTTTTCCACACACAAGGCCACAAGCTGGTCCAGGTGTCTGGCTCATATCTCCAGCCTGGGCACAACCAGGAAGACATCTAAGTGCCAAATAAGTAGTAGCCAGCTGGTGTTCAGTCTGAGTGGCTAGCTGTCCAGCACCAACTCAGCTGCCAAGGTGAAGCACACCTGGTCGCACAAGCATTGTGAATCAATAGCTGCTGTGTTGGTTTGCTGTTGAAATTGCCTCAAGGTGTACTGTGGCCACTGCTCTTCGATCCTGTCTGGCAACAAAGCAAACACTTTCCAAACTTCCTGGATCCACACCTCGCTTCTTTTCCTTTGCCTGAAGAAAGAGGAGATCACACAGGAGAACATGGACAACACAGGGAGCAGGAACTGAATATATGGAACCTAAATCAATGCCCAGCCTTTGGCTTCCTGGTGCGCTCTCTCCCATGCTTCTTCCAAATCACCACTTCTTGCCAGAGCTGCGCACTCTGGATGGCCTCAATGGTGGTTTCTGCCAGGCCAGCAGTCACACCAACATGCTTCAGTGAGCTTGGGAGCAGACCAAGCATCTGGAGCACCCATTCATCTTGGATGGCACAGCGGCTTTCAGAAAGCACTTACAGCAATCAAGAATTGAGTGGCAGACCTGTGCTGTGTCGATCTTTGCCTGTGGGCTTCCCCTTGCACAATGTCTGGACCATGGTGCTCCAATCGTTCATGTAGGCATTGTAGCCTGAGCCTGGAGGTCCTGCAAGAAGACGCATAAGAAACAAGCATGTGCCAAGCAACAAATGGCAGGCCTACATTTCTGTAGTCAGCAGCTCCAAGCATGTTCATTCCTTAGCTACACAGCATGGCAACATACAAGGCCAGAGTGGCTACATTGAAGTGCCTACATCTATCTGAAAGGCGTTCCTACAATGGAGTGCCTACATCTAAGGAAAGTAGGCTAGTGCCTA